AGAAAAAAAAAAAAAAAAAAAAAAAAGGTTGTGACCCCTTAGCCTCATCGACCCCCCAATGATGATGCATCGACCCCTGGGGGTCCATATCGACCACTTTGGCAACCCCTGGTGTAGGCAAACAATAGCAAGCCTTAATTGACACGGAATATGGAAAATAGGCAGTATACTGGTTCACAGTAAAAACTGACTTTTGGAGGTGAATATTTCACAGAGTCACATGTACGGGTCTGGTTCCATTGACTTTTTTGCTTGTACAGGGGAGATCTATAACTCTGGGGGTGGCAAATCCCTTACTCAGAACTCGCATCTTACCACATAATTGATTTTGCATTCAATTTGTTAAGTTCGGATATATTCAGACATTAGAGTTCAGCTATTTAGAAGCTGAACTAAATAGCTATACTCAATCATGGAGAAAAATGATGGTTTGCGTTTTAGAAACATATTCTTCACCTGTGAGTGGTTGGAGATTAGTTAATACAAAGTTAATGGAAATTTTCAGTACATATAATGTGCAGAAAGCTGATTATCATCTAATTATTCCTATTACCAGGAAAACAAATTCACTTCTTGAGAGAAATAATGCACAATTTTTAACTTTTATTTAGTTTTTGTGATATTTCCTTGTCCAAATTTATGGATAAATTACAACATTAATAAAAATCTTACATTTATCTAAATGAGATAAAAACAAATAAAATTTTTTTATAATTTTTAGATGATGAAGTAGCCAGTTCTTTATTGCTTCAGATGGCAGTGTATTTTAATATCTGTTTCACACCTTTCTGGGTTATTTCTCATATTCTGACCTTCAATTTGAAGGTAAGTACCCTTTTGAAATCCTTAGAATTGGACTCTTCTAAGTATATTGAGCGTTTAGATTGGTGATGGAGGAATCTTTGCATGGCATTTCATAAGGTTGCATGTTTTTTATCTATTGTTTAAGTCAGTGAATGGGCTGCAAGAGAACTTCATAGGTGTTTGGCAGACAATATAGTTTTTTCTTACAGAATTGTAGACTTTAAGCCTACTGATCTTTTGAAACAGTTTATGTTAAAGTAACATGCTGTATTACAACTTATGTGGTTTACTGTATTGCAGTTTTCCCGTACTGCAATGCTGATGCTAAAAAACATTGTTGCCTCTGAGTTACATTGAACAAAATATTTAATAAAATATCAACAATTTAAATTTCCAGTTTTCCTTTGATTAGAAAGGACATTAAATATATTGTTTGCACTTAATTTCTGTTGCTAAAAATAGAAACACTTCATGCTTTAAGCCAGAAGTATTATTTCACTTATGATTAAATGATTAAAAAAGTGGTATTGACTTTCAGAAATGAAATTGTAATATATTTATTTGAGATGATTTCCAAAAATAAAATACTTTTTAAAATAAAGATTGCATTTTAAAGTTTTCAGTGTAGCCAGTTAAAACTGGAAAACACCATCCTAAAAACTGTCAAAGCTCTAGATGTAAAAGTAAGCACTACCTAGTGACTGCTAAATGCCATTATGCCAGACATGCATATAGTTTAATTGGTCTGTTCACTTTAGTTGTTAGCATATTTATGCAACTGACTATCGGCACTTAGGGCATACTATAGTCCTAGACATTCACTTTATGCAATGCAAAACTTTGTTTGCTAAAGAATCTGACAAGTGAAACAAATTTGTAATGCAAATAAATTTTTATTCAAAAAGGATTAAAATTTTAACATTTTAATCAAGTTTATTAGAAAAATATACATTGAAAGCGAAGTAATTATAAGAAGTTTTTTTTGTTATAAGATATACATAAATTTTTCTTATTGGCTACATGACCATGTGATAAGGCTTCAGCTTACAGCTATAGAAAAACCTGAATTTGAATCCTCAATCTCTCGTGGGTAGTTTGGATTGGTGTGATTTTCCTTCTTTGTTCATGTCAATCTACAGATTAGATCTGTCGAAGTGACAAAATTAGACAGTCACATAGCTGGTTGGTGTCATATGTCAAACAACATAATCAAATCAAAGGATTTATAATCAATTTTTTATCTTTCTGCATAGAATCTAATTTAATGTTAATTTACTTAAAGCATTATACATGAATTATATTTTTATAGTACGATGCCTTAAATGAAATCTACCAGATTGTGCTGAGTGTAGTTTTCTTCATTATCTTTCTTGTGGAAGGACCTCGCCTGTATCTTGGCTACGCAGGAAATTTAAGCGAAAGTGTAAGTAACAGACATTTAAAAGAAAATTAAATATAGTTAGTTGTTATAATATTTTACTACTATCAAAAAACTTTAATATTGTTTATGGTTTTTGATGTAGTATATTTACAATATAATTTTCATTGTCTTATAAGGCCATATTTATGGTAATTTACATAGAATGGTGTGATGATATTACCTTGAAAAATATTAACATAACATGTAATTTGTATTTACAATAGAATGCAATTTCCAATTATGATAAAACAATAATTTATTTAATAATATGCAAATGAGTTTATATACCTGCAGATATCACTAACATCAGAGTCGGTAGATTAACTGGTCTTTCGACTTCCTATCTTCGCTCGTTGCTAGAATCAACTAGAGACAAATGTTACCACCAGGGGCACTGCAATCACTACAAGACCGCTAGATCGAATCCCTGTGAGGTCGAATGTTTTCTTTTTATTGAAAGATATATAACCTTCGAGTTCGATTTCATAATTTTTATATGCATTTTATTATAAGAATGAAAAAGCTTTTATTTAAACCCAAAACNTACTCGCAAAATGTACGTCACAAACGTAACATTTATTTGTTAGCATCTTGTCGTCTTGTGGAATGCATCGCATCCACTCCTCAATCTTATCGCTAGGAGCACGGAAGAAATGTCTCTTCTCGTTCGATGACTTATATCCTGCCTTGCATCCTGGCACAAAGCACGTTGGCATTTTTATGGAGCTAAAAAAACAATTATTATAGGTCAAAATCACTGACTTCAGTACATACCAAGCAAAAACAACGATCTCCTGCTAACAGTGGCGCCGACTAGCGGCAAATATTGTCTCTAGCTAAGTTTGAACTATTAGTCGAAAGACCAGTTAATCTACCAACTCTGCTAACATTAAGTTTGCAAAGATGGGAGTAAAAAATTTTTAGAAAATATTACGGATTCAATAAACATAAAGCTGGCACTATTGTATAACAAAGAAGATTTATATCTTTCTCACACTTTCCAGCAGTAACTGTTTAATAAATAAATGCTTTTGGCTTGCATCAGGTTAAGCCGATACAAAATCAAATGTCTGAATCGGATAGATGTTTGAATACCGGCACTGCCATTGCCGAGATCTGGCATTATAGCTCTGAGAAGAGTTCGTTTAAGATAAGCACTCCCCATTTTTATATTACACTGTAGCTTGCATCTAACAGTTTAAAAAAAAAGAAGGTAAAACTATTTCTATGTATACAGGATGAACCAAAAGTAGACAGACAGTAAATGATAACATTTATTGAGATTACATATACAATTTTATCAACGCAGGTGCTTAAACTGCTGCCCATCACAATTTACACAGTTTTGAAGTCTACATTTCACACTTTGACAAACGTTTTTGCACAAGTAACTTTGAATATTAATTTGTTGAAATAAATCCTGTAATTTAGTTATGGTTGAAAAATTACATCAAATATACTTATCATAATATTTTTTCTCAAACCGGGACAATTTTGAGAAAATACTCAACAGAAAATAAATCAGTACTTTTAAAATATGACAATATATTTGAGGACGTTCCTTCCGCTGCTACTAGGCTTGCCTTATGTTTCTCACATTTCAAGTGATTTTTAATTAATGTCCGAACATCCACAAGTTACTGAAAATTCTGAAAAGCACAGTTCACAATTCACTTTGTCAATATGTTCAGAAACTTTTTTCAAAAATGGATAATCCATTTTCGATTATGAATAAACATGCAGTTTTTTTTTGACATTTTGGAAATTAAATTAATTTAATGTACTGTACAGAACAAAATAATTGCAAATGCCGACTAGCAATTTGAATTCTACTAAGATAGGAATGCACAACAATGACATGGCCAGTGTAAGTTTCGTGTGGCAAACTCTAATTGAAACAAAATATCTGGATGTCATAGGCTACATCAGTGATTCTCAAACTTTTTCGATCCACCGCCCCTTTTGTTCCATAAAGTTATACCCAACGCCCCCTAACCCATTTTCTCTTGTGTGAGAAAAGGATTGGAAATATTCTTAGGAAAACTTTTCTATGAATCTCACACTTTGTGCCCTTACTGTACATTGTTCTCATCATCTGGAAACCATTAAACGCAATGTTTCCTCTTATCAGCCCCAATTTTGCCTTTGGTCACCGTTCAATACCCTGCCTCTATCATAGATCTATTCATCGCGCCAGAAGGGGGCGTTATTGCTTACTTTGAGAAACGCTGAGCTAAAATAAAAGTCAATGTGTTAGAAATATTCAAGTTGTGACCTTCAATAAAAAATAAAAAATATATAAAATGTCAACATTTTATATATATTCCGTCGAATTTTTATATATAGAATTTGTCTGCCGTCGCCCCTCTATATTTCCTTAACGCCCCCAATTCTCTTTGAGCCTTCTACTGCCCCCCTGAAAGCCTCCAGCGCCCACAAGGGGGCGTTATCGCCCACTTTGAGAAACGCTGGGCTACATGCTATTATAAATTCTGTAAAAAAATATCTGAATGAAAAAAACAAAACATTAAATTCATTAGGCCATATGCTCTAAATTTTGAGGAAACCTCTAGACAACATTAACAGTACTTAGATCTAGATACAAAATATTTAGATATACAATAGTGAGTGTAACAGAGGAGATTATTTAGTTGCAAAATCACCATTTTACCCCAGGCTGCACTATTTTTACTTCTTATATATTTGGCACTTTTAAAATTTTAGAAAATAACTGGGACAAAATGACAAACTGGCCAGGACACGAGGACCACATCATCAAAGCGGGACATCTGGTAAGCCTAAATATACACCATTGTTATAGTATAACCCTAACACAAACCCTATTCCACATACTGTCCACCTACTTTTGGTTCACCCTGTATATTGTCTATTTAGACTTTGTTTATTAATAGGACTTGCTAATCGGAAACTTCACCAATAATAATAAGTCCTATTAATAAACAAAGTAGACAAGATAGAGGTAAAAAGAATTAATATATACACAAAACTTTGTCCTTACTTTTTACATTTCTATCACTGTATGATGTTCATTCTAATGTTTAGTATTTTTTATTCCACTTCACTTATAATTTATACGTATTCATTTTTTTATTTAACAATTTTTTTACTTATTTTACATTCTACTTACCACTGTGGTATCTAAGAATCCAGTTGTTATACAAGAACTAGTATGATTATAACACAATTTCTACCATTCAGGTAATATTTGTGTTCATGATAATTTTATGTACAGAAATTTTAGGTTATGATTATAAATAATGTTTTCTGGCCAATTCTTTTCTTCCATAATATTCTAGATTATTTAATAAATATTAATTATAATAATTAAATTTAATTTGGTACTCAGTTAAGCAATCATCTCAGTATTTAATTAAAAATAATAGCAGTATAGTAGCCTGATTTAGTCTGGCAGTCATTTGGCATATTACAAGGAGTCGCCAGGATAAATCCTTTCTAAAATTTTCAGAGTCCCATACTGTGCATTGTCTGGCCAAGATTTATTAAATGAACTGCAGTGTATTATTATCTTTCTTGTTTGGTGGAAGAGTACTCTTTCACAGTTTGCTTTGGATAATGCTGTCTTGGCTATTTATAATACCCTATTAAATTCAGTACAATTCAAGCTCTGAACGAGACGGTTGGGACCTCATCAGAACTGTAGAGCATACCCGTAGGAGCAAAAAAAAAAAAAAGCCAAAGGAACCTCTAAGTGATCCTTTGTGAGATACAGCCCCTGAAATAAGATTGCGAGTCGTGTCGCTCCACTAAAGACTATCGTGTTTAACTATTTAGCCCACTTGACTGTTCAGAGTACTTAATGTTATATAGTTTTAGGGGAGTGTGGAGGCTCGCCCCACCTGAATGCTGAGGTGTGAGTTGATAGTGAGCACCAAAGTGCAAGACTACATGCACTGCATTGTCAAGGCAAGAGATAGCAAGTCTTGATTGATGTGGTGCATGGATAATAGGCAGTATACCGATATATGTTAAAAACTGACCTTTGGAGGTGAATATCTCACAAAGGGTCACAATGAAAATCTCATCTCTATTTTCATTATTTTATACTGTGTTTTTTTTATTTTTTGTCCTCAGCCAAGATCATTGAAACAATATTAAATTTCCATCAATTTAATGCTTTTTCTTAACTTGCATTTCCTTTCATTATAACTTTTTCTGTTGGTTCTCAGAAAAGCAAATTGCTGATTACCATACATACCTAGATTGTTTTGTTTATAACAAATGTATTTAATAAATTTGTGTTTCTTTAGTAATAGTGTAATTCTAAGAAAATTTCAAATTAGCTTACAGTAAATAATTTTTTTTAATCTAAGTGTATCATATTAAAATGACTTTAGAATTATGAACTTCCAGAAAAATTATTTTCTATCAACTTATCATTAAATATGAGTTTATTCTACACTCATGTGCAAAACTTAAGGATAATGTGGTGTAAGGTATTTTTGACAGGAAAAACAAGGAGAATTTCCCATATATGGGATTGCAGGTTGCATTACAAATGGTATCAAACTGCAAACAGTGTGAGAAAAGATACAAAGTGGGCAACATGGACAACAATTGAGAATAGGTATGTTTTCTGATTTTCACACTGTGTTAGTCCAGGAAACAAGGTGCTGCACAGGGCCATTAATAGTGTGTGTGATCACCCTGCACTGCAAGACATGCACGACAATGTGAATGCATGATGAGAATGAGGTTATCAAGAAGTGGCTGGGGTATGGTTTCCCATTCTTGGACCAATGCTTCCCTGAGCTCAGGAATGGACCTTGGAGCCATTTGACGATGTGCAATCCGCCTGCCAAGCATGCCCCATGCATGGTCTGTTTGGTTCAAGTCCGGCGAGCGACTGGACCAATCAAATCGTCTGATATCTTTTGTTTCAAGGTACTCATCCACTATGCCTGCCCAATGCAGATGAGCATTATCATCCATCAGAATGTCTCTTTTGAGGTCCAGTGGGCAAT